TTTTTTTTTTTTTAAAGTAATCCTAAATTTATAATAAAAAATTATCTAACAATTTTTATGATATTATTTTTATGTATATATATATCCATCATTTTATTTATTATAAATAAAAATATTTATTAATAATAAAAAATAAGTGATTTTTATATAAATAAGAATAGAATAAGGGGGATTTGGATGAAGGGCATGGCATGCCCTCCTCCCTTCAAATTTTTAAAAATGTATCAAAATTATATTAAAAACATTTTTATGACCTCTCTAAAATTTATTAAAAAAATATTATAAACTGATAATTGAAAACTATCATGTTAATATATAATTAGAAAAAAAGAAAAATATATTTATGATTAATATAAAAGGTGGTAAAAGGAAATAATATATATATATATATATATATATTAAAGAAATAAAATAAATATCAACATTAGATAAACTGCTTCCTTCAATTAAGGCCACACTTTGCAGTTGCTTTGATTCAGTAATATGGGTAGGGATGGCAAAAATACCCGTACCCGCGAGTATCTGCGGGTAAAATCTACTACGGATAATAAATGGATAGGTTAATTGGGTAGCCGCGGATAATGGGGACGGATAATTTTTTACCCATTTATCTTCATGAGGAGAGATTGCATGTTGATATTGATGAGATAACCAAGAGACCTGTGGGAGACTCAGCTACCCAATTTATGAGTACCATGGAGGTTCTTGTTAGAACCAAGGTTTCTATTTTATTACCTAGTTGGGATCATGTAGAGGAAGTTGTCAAGAACCATATTTGGGCAGATATTACGGTACAATTTCATTTATACTTAACATTTTTCATTATTAAACTTCATTAGGATATAACATGTACTAACTCATTGTTATCATAAATGTAGGAAACTTGGGACATTCCTAGGACAGAGGACATGAGAAGGAAAACCCTCTCTATTGTGGCTGAGAGGTGGAGGGCATATAAGACCAGCCTCACGAACAATTACATTTTTGGAAAAAAGAAAGGTGAATTTCCTGGTCATAAGAACCCCACCATAGATCAAGAGACATGGAACGCATTTGTAGAGTCTAGAATGACTAAAGAGTTTTTGGTAAGTTAGGATTACATGCATTATTATTTGTGTTGTTCAGAATATTATGTTTTTACCTTTAATCTCATTATATGGTACTTTTGTAGGAGAAAAGAAAGAAGGTACAAGAGATTCAGACAAACAATGACACCATTGTTGTGATGGAGGAGGTAAGGAGGAGTGATTGGAGTTCTTCTCCTTAGCTTCTCCTAGCTCGGATCTTCTTCAAAGGAGATGGAAACCGAAACAATACAATGGGAAAGGGTGATGTTCTCGGATGTAAGAAGGCTTAAGCCTTGGATGGAAGCATCCAAGCTTAAGGTTCAAGGGAAAGCTCACTTCAAAGAGGAGGAAAACCTAGTAGGGTTCCTAAGGTGAAGCTTTCTCTCATGGGGACTCTTAAGCGAAATTTGGCTGAATAAGCTCTCAAATTTCATTATTCTCAAAAGTGAATACAAA